GAATATCAGGTAATTCATCCAAAGACGAGAAACAAGTGAGAAAAATTACCTAGGATTGGGGCTGTTCTTGATGGACTTCTGACCATACTTGCGCCACTTATATCCATCATCAGCCAAAGAATTTCCATCACAGCTCTTGATTCTGATGCTATATTTATGTTCAACATTATTCACCGTCACTCTCTCCCGGATAGAAGACCTGCCATTAAAACAAAACCCCTCGAATTAAATTCATCTGAATCCCATTAAAAACAGACACTCCTGCTCCTGCATTTGAATATCACTTACCCAGCAGTAGTACGAGGAATGTGCGTGCTTGACTGCAGGTTTCTTGATCTAGGGGTAATGGAGAGCGCATTCTCCACAGCCCCAATTGTCGGTCCGAAGTAGGCCGTACTACCAGGGACAGGGAGCATGGTCGCTCGATCGCTATCGGCGGCTTGGGGGACGAGGAAGAGCGGAGAGGCAGCTGTGTCGTTGTCGTGGTGGAGAAGGTCAGTGAGGCTGAGTAGATGGTCATCGGAGATGGTGTTGTAAATATCCGACCAGGGAATGGCAGCCAGCGACTCCATGAAGATGAACACAGAGATTGAAATTTGGAAGAAGAAAAAGAGAGGATAAAGTGGAGTAGATGGGAATTCAGGATATGCGGAGAGGCTTTTACGTCCGTCATTGGCATCTTCAATTTGACTTTTTTATTTTATATAGAAATTTCACTCTGATTAAATTCTTTTTTTTTCCTTCTAAAAAATAATATTAAATTATTTTGTACATTTGACTTTTCAATTTTTTTTTTTTTATTTTGTCTTTCTACTAATTTTATAAATTAAAAATCGAGAAACTTTTCAAAAATTTGAAAATATGCTCTTATATAAAATAAAATTATGTATATATGAAATGACAATTCTACCCTTATACAAAAAAAATTTAAAAAACAAGTTTAGGTCTAGTCACAGTTGACCTTCTCCACTTTTATTTGTTTTTATGCATATGCGACCTTAGGTTATAATAAAATTAATGTGTGCATTTAATGGGGAGAAGGCATAGGAACCATAGAAAAAATAAATAATTTATTTTGAGCTTGTTTGTATTGTCTGGTTATTTTGTTTTTTGATGTGATGGATGAATTAAAGTGGACCAAACCCTACCTGACCCTTGAACCCCTCCCCGTCTTCAACTAATGCAAAGAGTCAACCACTAACCAAAATATATTAATTAATAAATCAAATTATATATATATATATATATATATATATAATATATTGTTTAATCTTTGAATTTTATGTTGGATTTATAAGATTTAAATTCCTTATTAGCCTTCTCATTGATGGACATCTACCTCTATTATTTATGAGAGTTTTTCTATAAAATAGAAAAATCAAATCAACAATATTGTAAATAGCATAAAATTAGCTACCACATGTGGATTGAAAATAATCACATAAAGGGCAGTAAATTCTACTTTTTTACAAAAATGCCCCCATATGGCAAACCCTACAACTTACCTCATACACTCGTCTTTATTGTATAATACTGTAATATTTTCGGGAAATAACTATTTATTTTTACTCCTTATTTTTATAATTCAACCAACAATTATTTATTTTTGTATTTTCAACCTTCGCTAGAAATTTAAATAATGGAAATAATTCGTTTGTTTGTAATACTCATGCAATTAATCTATAGATAATGAGTCAAAATTAATTAATTAAAGAGTTTAATTAATTTATTTTATATAACGGAAACATATAATATTACAAATACACAAAGTTTTCGTAGCAATGCTAAAATGATCCATTCAAATTAATATATTAAATGTATTATATTTTCCTTTTTATTTATTTATTTATTTATTAATTTGACATCATCCAAATCTATTATCACACAATTCAAGATTTTTTGTAATTATTTGAATAAAGAAATAGAATATGGCCTCATTTACGACTCTATTCTTTTTTTTTTCATGTCAAATTTTACTATTACTATCTACGTTTAATTTACTAAATAAAATATTAAAGGTAAAACTATATCTAAAATTTAATTATGTACCGATAGAGCTATCGAGACTGAACAAAAAATAATAATAATAATAATCGAGGTAAATTTTATAAAAATATTTTTTCTTACAATACCACAATTATTTTTTCAATTTTGTCACTAAATATATGAGATATATTGTTTCACATTTCCAACATAATTTTATTATTAATATCAGCTTAAACCACAACTAAATTGTCAATGTGTGTGGCTGCTTTAAAAAAATCTACTTTTATTACAAATGTTTAGATATGTTACCTTCTTTTAAAATATTACTTTAAATAACAAATTTATTTGACTAAATTATATGGAAAGTAATTCTATTAATTAAAAACATGTTTTATTTTTGTTAACCTTTTATTAAAACAACTTTCATCAAATTATCCATCAAATAATATAAAATGTAGTCTTTAAAATATTAATTTTGCATTATATATAGATCATCCAACATTAAAATGTGTATAATAACTTCATAAAATTTTTAATTTCATATTCTAGTTTCTAAAATTTTTAAGGTCAAATAACATCTTTTATTTTTGGATATTATGAAGCTATGAATTTCTTAAAATGTTATTAAATACAAAATTAAATCATAAAAAAAATAATAATAAAAGGTCAAATTTATGAATCTATTTCTATCCAAATTTGAAATCTGACCAAGTTAATTAGTAATTTAATTAATGACCATTAAACCCACACAAAAATATATTTTATTAATTAATTTCTTCAAACAAATGTAAATTTAAAATGTTTTATTGAAATATAAGGTAATAATAAACTGCCAAAGACTTATATAGCATGTTTAAGCAAAATATTTTTTATAAGAATGTGGAAATCTCTTCCTAACAAATACATTTTAAAATCGCGTGATTGACAACGATATGTAACAGACTAAAAATAGACATATTTAATATCAATAAGCTTGAACTATTACATATCGGGTGATATGTTAATAAAGATGTAGGCCTCTAAAAGAGTAGATCTTAAGAGAATGAAACATTATTTATACGAGTGTGAAAAACTCTTACTCACATATACGTTTTAAAATTGTGAAGCTGACGGTAAAGTTGAAATTTATGAGTGATTATTATTATTATTTTTTACTGTGTAAATATAAAAGATGAAAAAGAAAAAATTGAGGGTTGTCAACTACAGCGCAGTTGCATAACGTAACCCCACCATGGGTGTCTGTCTGATTGGTTTACTTTAAAGTGAGCGAAGGTTTGTCTGTTTGTGGCTTTGACTTTGTACACACGACATACAAACCGGACCGGCGGTTTGACCAATTGTCAGGTTTCGAACCTTAGCCACGGTACCCCCAAAGCAACAAGGTTTGGGTTTCAGTGTCAAAAAGTCAAAGGTATCTGCGAGACACGTGTAGAGGGGCCCCACATTTTACTCGAGGATCTCGTGCGGGAAGGATGGAGCGGCTCCGAGTTGTCCCCGTCCTGCTTTGGATCCGACACCTGACCATGACTCGTGTCGGATCCTTCTAGATCCAAACAAAAAGAAGAAGCGTGATCCCCTCGTCCATGTCAACCATTCTTTTTTTTTTTTTTTTTTGTGTTGAAAAATAAAACTGGGAAGAAGGACAAAATATAAATTTAGTTGTTCCATATGAATTTGGTTTTTTTTTAAAAATAAAATTTGAAAGGGAGAGCCATAGAAAGACGGACGACATGTTATAATTACTCGGGTCACTTTCAATTATCACAAATATGACAATTTATCGTTGTTTTTGTTATTATTTGAGTTAAAAAAAATTTCAAATCTAGAATGACGAGTGATCTATCTTTTGCTCTCGAGAATACTAAATCAGCCGATGGAAAGGAGTGTGTTCAAACGTATTATTATAACTCAAAATAATCATAATAACAAAAGTAATAATTGTATATATATTCAAATTTTGGTTCATATAATTTGAAATTAGTGTAGTTTTTAGGATAATGACCGGTAATCGTACTTTTAATTCTATTTTTACATGGGCAAGATATGGAATACAAAGTGTACCCTTTAAAGCCTTATTGGGCTTCTATGAATTTGGGCCGAAAGTCCACGGGTATATAACTGAGAGGCCCATAATTTAGCGGATCGAGATGTCGGTGCGTCAGGTGCATGGGCTCCACATGTATGCCACGGGTGGCGGTCGGAATTTGAAGAGAATTTAAACTTCTAATTTTATATAATATATTATCTCAACCTATTCCATATTTATTAAGACTTGTAGACTTAATTGTGAAAAATATAAAAATTTATATTATTATATTAATTCTAGAAAATTTTAAATATAGTAACTCTATTATTAAATACAAAATAAAAAATTATAAGGCATTTTTAAATGTAAACTTGAAAATTTAGAGGGTAAACTTGTAATTTAACATTTTTGTTTTTTTTTTAATAGAAAAAAGACAATTTGTTGAGACATTATAAAAAATAAACCAGGCTTATAATTGTATCACTATAATTTAAGGATATATTTCTTGTCCTTAGGGTTATTAAAGTATTTATTTATTTATAATTTTATAATGAGAATATTTAAACCCTGAAATTTTAAATTGAAACTTTTGGGGTAAGCGAAAGGACAAATGTCTGACGCCGAGGAACTGCACTTTTAGAATTCCGGCGGCATCCAAATGCCCGCCACCGCCGAAGAAGAAAGCAGTCACTGGCCGGAAGCAGCCTCCACCGACGAGCGGTTATTTCCACACTCCCGATCTCGATGCTTTGTTTTCCATGCCGCCTTCATCACGATGGGAAGCTTGTGTTTAGATGCATCACGGTATTCGATTCGTCAAATTTACAACATATTTGAAATTTTATCTGTTGGATCGATTCGTTTATTTCTTCCGTCATTTTGGATCATCCGTCCGTGAAATTTGGCGGTTTATTGTTCTTCATAGGGTATAGATTTAGTACTTGATTTCTTGTAGGCAAAACTTCAATATATGTGTTGTGAATGAGAATTAGTTTGGAACTGTTAGACCAAATAATTGGATTGCATAAACCAGTTCTGTAGAATCTCATTTGCACACATCACTTGAATTGAATTGTATTACACTTGCTGAAATTCTTTCATCTTAAAGAACAAGCTAACGCACACGCACACTTCAAATTCATTGAAAGTGGATATAGAGATTCAAGATGTTAATCATCAGGGATCCAGGGATGGCAAAACCCCAGAAAAGTATTGCTCAAACTCTTGATCAATGGCTGGTGACATAATCTTGGACTCTGCCTCTGCATATTTGAATGATTCAGATCTAATTTGTGTATGGAAAAAAATATAAAACTCACCCAACATCACAAATTTTGTGAAAAAAGAAACGAAAAAAAAAAAAAAAAAGAAATCCTATGATCCCTGGTGTCATCTCTTGAACCGTTTTGATCTCTGGTTAAATCTTAATTCCATCGTTGAACTTTGTCACTTACTTCATTTAAATCGTTATATAACATGCAAAGATGAACTGAGAATTTCAATACCTGGGTCTATGCTCCATCTCCCAGATGACAAAACAAAAAAGTCATGATTGGAGTCTGTGGGGAGGAGCAAATTTTGAGTACTGTCACTGCAACATTGCTCATAAATGCTGGAATTTCCATGGCTTCCAAATTCCAATAGATCTTCCTCATGGCCATAGTTTAGGTCCAACTTATCTTTGATACCATCTTTCTCACCCTGTATTCGAACCTCTTCTGTGGATGCCATTTTTGTAAGGCTGCTTTCTCCTTCTTCTTTTGGGCGTTTTTTGTTGAACTTGAAGCTATCTTCTCCATAGGGAAAGCTAATCGAACTTGAACTTGGACCCCAACATGGTAGCTTAGGTGTGGGTAAACTTAGTTGCTCAAACAGTAGTTTTCTTTTCTTCTTTACATCAAAGCTTTCAGTATCCCATGGTTGAAACCCAGAGAAGCTGCAAGAATTTGAATTTTTCTTAGTACGTCCAATTGAGGTCGGTTTAATTACAATAATGACAAGTTTCATTGCATAGTATTTTAGCGCTGATCTAAAGTTCTATGTTTGTTCTCTATCTTGGAAATTGAAGAAACCCTTAGATAATGATTTTGTCGTTTTTTTAAATCTGATCAGGGCTTTTGTAAGGATCAAAAACTATAAATAGAAGAAAATAAAATCCCAAATATCCAATCATTAAAATATCTAAATTTCTAAGAGATAGACAAGGCATCAAATCCCTACCCAAAAAAGGCACTGAAACCATGATTATCAGCCAGGCCAGGCCACTAGAAAACCATGATTATAAGTTAGATTATGCATAGGAAGCCAATTTTCCCCCTAAAAGATCAAAGCTCCCCATCAAAACACAATCAACATGCAGAAAACAGAGAAGAGAGAGTGAAACTTCTAATAAACAAACAAACCCAGAACTCAACCCATTAAGAAACTGCCAATAAAGGCAGAAGCTTCAAGATCTGTGTTTCCTTTCAATATGTTTTGCATCAGCTTGGTTCACAGACAGCCATGGCGGCCAAAGCAGAGAGAAAGGTTGAGAAAGATGTAGGACGTACCTGTGAGTGCCACCGTGAGATGGATGATGGCGGGGGTGGTTCTTTTGGTCCATCGTCGGAGAAGAAAGAGAGATGGAAATGGGAGGAAGGCAAGAACCAGAGGCATCTGGTTTGGATGGCGTCGATAAATAAAAGGAAAGTGGGGGAGTGGGAGGAGAGGTAGGATTCGAGGAGTTTGAGAATAATATTTTAATTTTAGTATTTGTTTATGCGTCGTATTTATCTATCTCTGTTTTTATGTTTCTTGTTTAATCCTTCCGATGGCACCTAGCTGAGGCCGAGGAAGCAGAATGCACATGATTCCTCCCAATGCTTGTCTCGATGCTGTGCGACGACGTCGTCTTATCATCATACAACCTTCTTCTTGGCTGTCGTCGAATGTGCGACTGGCACGCAGTTTCCTGCCTTCTTCTGATGGGCACGTGGACTGTACACACTCTCCCTATTCATTTTTTCCTCCTTTCTCAATTTTTTTTTAATTTCTTAATTGAATTTAACTTTTCAGAGGATCGATCAATATTTAAAGTTGAAACCATACAAAATATTAAATTTGAAGAATAAATATCATACTTCAACCAAAGTTAATTATAATATTAAATTTGAAGAATAAATAATCATAAAGTTAATTATAATATTAAATTTGAAGAATAAATAATCATATTCAACAATAATTTATAAAGTTAATTATTAATTTTGATGAGTGTTAAGAATATTTAGTAATAAATTATAGTTTACCATATATATTATATTTGATATTTTATTATAAAGCAAATATCTAATATTTGCCTTATTATCATAGGTATCTTTCCATTTATTTTTATTTCCATATCCTTGTAATTTATTTGATTATAAATAAGATAACTTTCACACCATTTAGGTGTGGTGGATTAATCAAACATTCACATGGTATCAGAGCCCTCTCGGTTTAACAACCCCGATCCTTTCTTTTCAATGACTTTTGAATCCTCTAATCTTCTTCTCCACCACCCCTGCTGGTTTTGACGCTGCAGGGGCAGTCTTCATGGCTGCCGTAGTCGGAGCCGATTGATTACTCTTCGGCTCCACCCTATTGACCTCCAAATCACCTTTCGTCATACTCTGTACATAGAACCTCACCTTTTCCAACCCAATCGGTTTTCCCCTTGGCCAATATAGTCTCTCTCATTTTCTTCCCAATCAACCTTCATCCTTCACATAAACCCTAACCTAAACCTATCAACCTTTTGCAGAGATTTACCTTCGGAATCTGGGTGCCGCACTGGCCTATTCGCCAACCAAGTTGCCGCAACCCTTCCTGCCAAAATTGGCTTCTTCGCCTGATGAGGCGACTCTTCCGACTGCCCTTCTCGCCAAAATTGGCTCCTTCGCCCAATGTGGCGACTCTTCCGGTTTCAACATTGTCTTTGTCCCTTGCTCTAGGTTTCCCCTTCTACTTCTTGGGGTTAGAAATATTCTCACCAGAGCCAAGGCAGCATCGTCGCTAAGCGACAATCCCTTTTCATGGGTTAGACATATTCTCGCCGAAGCCAAGGCAGTATCGCCGCTGAGCGGCGATCCCTCTGCAAATTTTTGATGGCCAAGAACCGGGTTGTTAGCATATTCATAAAAAGTGTTTCTCAACCTCTTTGAATTTTTCAGATTCAAGCTTCACGTTCGTTTAAATCCGACGCTTAGCTTAGCTTGCGGTGGGGTGTTAAGAATATTTAGTAATAAATATGGTAAACTATAATTATTAATTTTGATGAGACACTCCTCAATTATTAAACTATTATTATCTTTTTTAAAGCTAAAAGAATAAATAAATTTCTCTACTAATATTATCGTTTTAAGGACATATTTGTATGATTAGATAATGAATTGATAACCTTTTAAAGTAGTTAGCGAAAATTAATTATTTTATTTGACCATATATATATATAGATTCAATTGATATTTATTTTTAATTTTGTTTTTTAAAATGGATGGATATTAATAAAAATTTTAAAAATTTAAGATATTTTAAAAATATTATTAAAATGTTTTAAAATATTAACTATGTCTAAAATTAACGATACAATATTTTGAGACATTTTTGAAAAATTAAGAATATTAATGGAAGTTTCGAAAATATAGGAAGGAGAAAAGTCATGAATTGATCCAATACAGATGTAATTCCTGAACCGAAGGATGAAGAGGGTTCCCGAATCATCAGCTTGCCGCGTTTCTTTTATATAAGATCGACTTGCCGTCTTCGCACCTTCATTCTTACCATCCCTGAATTTTGTACTTCACTGCAGATTAATCCATCTTCTATTAACTCGAGTATTTAGGGATTCCTTCGATTGCTAGACGGCTATGGCGAAAGACGGTCCCAACTGGGATGGGTTGCTCAAATGGAGTCTCGCTCACTCCGACGGAACTCGCCCTAATCGTAATTTGAGGTTCTCTCTCTCTCTTGACTTGTCGATTAATCAAGAACTAAGATCTGCTACTCGCCTTTGTGTCTGTTATTGTTGGCTTTGCCGGATTCTTGCTGTAGAAGCTGTTAGAGAGCTTTTGCATTCTGTCTATGTAGTGGATGTTAATTTAAAAGTTGTTTGAGTTGCGAACAGCAATAAGAATTATTTAGCTGGAAGAAAACATTATTTGCTTAAACCTACCATTTCAGTAATGGAATTGATTCATGCGATCACATTTAAGTCGTATTCTTGTATTTTTTTAGCATAGCAATCGATATCCAGAATTGTGTTACTATGTTCGTGCATTCTACAGTTGTTGCTAATTTTGAAGGTGTGAACCTTGGTTTCAGATTATGTTCTGTCGCCGTGGTTAGGTTTATCTGTTTTGGGCGATATGTTTTCTGCGTAATTTCTTAAAAGATGGTATTGAATTACGTCTTTTTTTCAGTGAGGAGGATCGGAGATGGTTTATGGAAGCAATGCAATCCCAGAGTGTTGATGTTATCAAGCGCATGAAAGAGATAACCCAAGTGATGCAGACTCCTGAGCAAGTCTTGGAAGCTCAAGGTGTTAATCCAGAAGATATTGAAGGTACTTTCATTTTCAGAACTCTCCTTCACCCCCGTCTACCCGGGCAGGGGTTCTGTTTCCTCTTCAAGGATATTTCCTAAATTATTTCGTTCCATTTTTCTGTTCCTTGCAGATATGCTTGATGAGCTACAAGAGCACGTTGAGTCGATTGACATGGCTAATGGTAAAGTACTTTCTTTATTGCATTAACAAAATAATTGTTGGGCAGATGGGGATGGTTTCTATGATACCAACGAGGAAGCTTGATATGCTTTCATTTGTTTAAGGGAAAAATCACTTGTTAGAATCTACAATTTGCCCTTAATTGACCATGGCCCTTGTAGTTTCTACACGTTTTTGCGACGGATAGGGATTTTCATTGCCCTTGAATTGAGAAGGTTGATTGCTATTAGGTTAGGCACCTAGTTTTGTATATCATGCAATAAGGGAAGGGAGAAGTTGGTGTAGTTTCTGGCATACTGTCTCCCATAAAACTAATGTAGCATTTCTTGGGGTTCTTTTACGAAGGAAAATTAGAAATGACTTTGAATGGGTTTCGAGCTGTTACTTTCTTAGCAAGGGTTTATGAATTGTGGAATGGTCATTGATGAACTTTCTTCCAGAATAAAAATATCACTATTGAGTTTATGGTATCACTTCTTCGAGTAAAATTATTTCTCATCCTCTTCACATTAATTATATTGCGCTGACAGACCTCCACTCTATCGGTGGATTGCATCCGCTTCTTGGATTTCTTAAGAATTCCCATGCAAATATTCGAGCCAAAGCTGCAGAAGTCGTGACCACTATTGTTCAAAATAATCCACGAAGTCAACAACTGGTGATGGAATTGAATGGTTTAGAGTCGCTCCTATTAAACTTTGCTTCCGACCCCGATGTCACTGCTCGGACCAAAGCTCTTGGTGCTATATCCTGTAAGTACATAGATTCCTTTTTGTGAAGAAGTGTTCAATTTGTATCTCTGTTTAGGCCTGGAGGCTTTCGTATAGGTTGCTGACATTGGCTTCCGTTTTGTTTTTCCCCCCTTTGGCTGCTTTCTCTGCAGCTTTGATTCGACACAACAAACCTGGTATTACTGCATTCCGACTTGCAAATGGTTATGCAGGCCTGAGAGATGCTCTTGGCTCCGAGAGTGTGAGATTTCAAAGGTAAGTATGTTTAATCGTGACAGATCACCTTCAACCATCTTGCCCTCACAACTTTGAGAAAATCCAATTTCCTCATGGGGGGTTTTAGCGGCTGTAGGAATAAATGGTTTGAATTGCAAATCGTGTAATTCCCTTTGTTCGGGGATAGCTTTTTTAATTGATCGAGTCTGCTTCTTGTTATACAACTACTCATTGAGGGAACATTTTTTCAGGAAAGCCCTTTACTTGATCCATTACCTGCTGCTTGAAAATGCTTCAGATTGCCACATCGTGAATGAGCTTGGATTTCCTCGCATTATGCTACACCTTGCATCCAGTGATGATGCTGATGTACGGGAGGCTGCTCTTCGTGGTCTCCTTGAACTTGCCAAGGATAAGACAGGTGAGAATGGTGGAGGATTAGGTGAAGATGATGACAAGTTAAAACAGCTTCTTGAGGAGCGGATAAAGGGAATCAGTTTACTGTCACCTGAAGATCTTGCGGCAGCTAGGGAAGAAAGGCAGCTTGTTGATTCACTCTGGAATACCTGCTACAAAGAACCATCATCTCTCCGTGAAAAGGGCCTTCTTGTTCTTCCTGGGGAGGATGAACCACCTCCTGATGTTGCTAGTAAGCATTTTGAACCTCCTCTGAGAGCTTGGTCGGAAAGGCCTCCGGCTGATACAAGTCCTAAAACTGAAAAGAAAGAAACTCCTTTATTGCTGGGCTTAGGTCCTGCACCTGCACCTGCACCCGAGGCTAGAGATGTTACTTCCAGTTCCGCAGCGAATACAAACGGAAACGTGGATTCGACTTCATAATTTAGGCTGTACATTTAGTAATTTCTACGCCAATTCAATGATTTTGCTTTCCCCTTCCTCTGTGCTACAACGCTGCCATGGTTGAACTTACACAACCGAGATGATCGATGTCTAGAACATCAAACTGGTAGCGGCAACACTACTCCTTTCTTTATTATGGTTATACCTTTCTGAGATATTTACTAGCAATTGCTTTGTGATAGAATTCTAGTTTTGCGACTTGTTGGATTTAGAATGAAAGATCATGTGCTGTGAACTTCAGAATATATAAAAGGAGAGGTCAATATGCAACTAGATATCTGCTTTGATCGCTT